GTGTATTTCTTTGTGTGACTCATGAAATAATACAACATGTAGCAAGCTGTTTGTAATATGGCAGTGCAGTTATATCATAGAATCATCCACAGGAAGACAAAGTAAAGTATGCCTTTTAACAGGTGAAGGACATACCTGTTCTCATACTACTAATCTTACCATTGTTTCTCCAAGCCTGGGCTGGACTGACATTTTACTGAATTCTACAAATCCAGCACTGTTTCAGGTTTGAGAAACTTAAATTAATTTTCATACTAACACTTTAGAGAGTAGTATATGCACAGAAATATATTTTTCTGGAATGGTGAAGAATACAAATTATATGATAACAACTCTTGACACGTTTGCAACTGGTAAATAACAGCAATATAACACTGATTTCTTTACTTTGCAGTGTATACAGTTTGGATTAAAGTGTCATTATGAAAAATATGGAACATATTAGGACCAGATAGCATTAAACATTACAAATGATACAACTCCACTTTTTTCCTTTTTTTCTTTTTTTTTTTTTTTGAGATTGGGTTTAGCAGTGGCATCAGAATTGGAGATGAAGTGAGACCTTTTGTTGTTGTTGTTGTTGTTGTTGCTGTACCATTATATTTATGAATATTTAATTCTTTAAGAGTTGTCATAAAGCATCAAATAATAGAGAAAATGTCTGAGCCAAGACAAGTAATACCACAGAAGTATAGTGGTAAGTATTCTCTCTGCTTCTTTTTGACAGTTATTTTGGCTTTACCGAAAATCTGAGTGCTTCCTAAGTATTCAGAAAAAGAAGTAGCAGTTGGAGATTTTTCCGCTCTTTTTCTCTCCTATAGAAGAAATGAAATGACATCCAGCTTTTCTGTTGGCTTTGCGGTTTAGGAGTGCTTAGTGTGTGTGCACATGCATATAAATAATTCCTTTCTGATGTAATTTTTGCCAAAGTTCCCTCATTTGAGTGACATTTTTGACCCATTTACATCAATGTTGAAATTTCCATTAACTTCCCCAAAGCTGGGATTCCATCTGTTTTGTCTAAGTTCATTGTAGTTCAGTCTAATGTATTTAAAAGCATTTATATTTTAATTGCTTCAGTGGAATGCAGTTGTCATGACCAGCAAATTTTGCAGAGGACAGAAAGGATCATCTGGCAATGAGCAATCTCACATAAGGGCTTAAACAATGGAATAGCAATACTAAGCTCTACATTCAGTGAGAAATAGTATGATAAATGGCATTTAAAATTAATCTCCTTTTTAAAGAATTGTTTTCAAGTAGAATACTGCTGCTTTTATAGAGTTTGCAGCTTCATTCCTGCATATGCATTGTCATAAGCAACGCAAATTTAAAATGTGGGTCTAATGAGATGGAGACAAATCTGTTAGCACCGCACAGCCAAGAGTGAATTATGCTACTTGGCTGGTTTGGGTATCTAATTGTGCTGGAAAAGAAACAAAGTTTGGCAGTGAATGTTGTCAATAAGGAAAGATTTTATACAAAAAATAAGTCTGTCCCTTTTCCACCTTGATTCTTTCACCTTTCTTCCCCCACATCTTGCCTGCAACTGCAGCCGTAGTAAAAGCTGTTCAGTGAGCAGTTCATCCTTCACACAGGAGATGGAATGTGCTTTGTATGTCTGTGCTAAGTATGGTTTTAAACTTCTGCTTCTTGTTGTATATGCCTTGGCCTTTGCTTGCATCTGGGTCTAATCCCATCTTCTGTGTGCAAGCAAGTAGTTTAGCTAAACTTAGAGCTAGCTAGAAAACTCTTACTGCAAGATAACATGGGATACTGTGCATTTCCTACAGGTGCTTCAGCTCCTATCTTCAGTTTTTCTAGTACTTCCTGGGTACAAAGGACATGAGAAAATGTATCGAAAATGTATTAACGATGTATCTGCAAGTAACTGCAAGTGAACAAGGCTGCCGGTGGTGGGGGTTTCTAAGCTGTTTATGATGAGAGAAATTTTTTGTCGCTTGTGGTTTTGCTGCTTATCTTGCAGGCGGCAGGGAGAGAAGACCCTTTTTTGGCTAATGACAGAAGTTTGTAAACAGTAAGGTTTTCTTTGTTCCAAATTTTCATGTCATTAGACATGCAAGACTGTATTCATTAATGTGAACAGTGTTATCGATAAATACGTATGGTGTCAGTCCCTAGTGTCAGGGTTCTCAACTAGTATAAATCACTGTAATTCCTTACCTTTATGTTAACTGGCATAATCCCGTTCAGTTGAAGACCTGGGCAGAGCACAGGAAGCGTGTGTGTTAGCCAGGGAAGGTTGTAGTGGTTTCTAATTCTTCTACTTCCTGCTTTCATACGGATGTGGAGTGTATTGAAGTTGACATGGTCTAAATAAGGTATTTTTAATTTTCTATTTGGAGTGTTGATACCTCAGTAGAACAACATCCTTGGTTTAGGGGTTATGTTTCATTATTGCTTCACAGGAAACGAAGACTCAGTTTAGGTCTGGACTTTTGAGCAGCACTGAAACTTTGAGGGACAGAAATATTTCTTTAAACAAACTGTTTGTATGTGCAAAGTGTTATGCAATTGAAATGTTCAGCAAATTCAGAACTTAAATTCACTGAAGTTAGTAAGACTATATATCCATGTAACAGCGCTGAATCCAGATATTTAGGGCATATAAAAAGAATTAAAAGATTTAAAGAATTTTGTAGCTTGAAAGAGCAATAACAAATGCAGTTCTTTTCAAATCAAAAAATGATAGTTTTTCACTGAGAGCAGAGCTTTTACAAAGGGTCTTTCAACTGAGGATCTTGCAGCTCTGCTTGAAACAGTGACTTTGGACTCAACACTGAAGCCTTTATCGAATGAAAGGGAAGGGAGTGCTCCAATGACTTGTCAGCTGTAGGACTGGGCTCTTGCGCCTCACCCCACGAGGTAAGGCGGCTTTACTTTCTATGATTTACAGAATGAGCAAGTGAGGAGTGTGACTTGCCTAAAGTTACACCACAAGGCTGTGCAATAAAACACCTTAGCAGACATACATAAGCTGCAATTTCATCTTTCTCTCATGATTCTAAGTTGGGAAGAGCAACAACTGTTTTGAAATTTAAACCAGAAAGATGCTCATACCTTTCCATGTGATTTGTTGGGTATCCTGGCTAGTTATCTTGGTTGAAATGAGGAAGCACTTTCAAATCCTGTTGGAAGTGTGAGGGGAGAAGCAGAAAGCTAACTCTGTAAATTTTCTGACCTGAAGATCAGTTGGACTAAACTGATTTTAAACTAATAAACATTGATACGATACTCACCACCTTCCTTCCTTCCCCTCCCCCATGAGAATGATTCTACTAGAAAAAGATAAAACGTGTCTTGGATATATGTAAATGAGATGTGCTCAATTAAAGTCCCACTTTCTCTGTGTTCTGTGTATCTATTTCTAGTCATTTTACTTTTCTCTGTCCTTCTGTCTGGTGTACGTCTTTAAAATGCAATATGGAGAACTGCCACAAGCACACTTGGAGAACTCGAGAAAAGCACAGTTTCGCACATTTAGATGAGAGCCAGTGACAGTGCTCAATCTCACCATTTCATCACAGGCAGATGATATTACAGTGCAAGAACATTCAGGTTTGTAAATGATGGGTTTTAAAAGGTAAAACAAATGTCAGTAATCTGCTGTGCTTTGCAGAATCAGTGCCATAAATAGATGCACTCTTTTGATTACTTGGATGGCTCACTTTAGATTTATGAGAAAGTATATAAAATTAACAATGTGTGCTTACACAGAAGTGATAAAAGCTAGTTTCTGCTTGTGCTAATGTACACAGTTGGTTCTTTACAACTAGAAACAAGATACTCTGAAAGAGTTTCATGCATTCATACTCTAGCAGTTTAATTAATGGGACTGCTTTATATTTCAGGGGAGGGGTGTGGGGGGGGGTGGAGGGGGAGGCTGTAGGGGGAAGGAGAAAAAGTAAACCAACATTTCTTACATTGTTACTGGACTTGGTATATGTAAGTATGATTATGCAAAATCTCCATCAGGGTGGCTGTTTGTCCTTTCTTACAGAGTGGGAGGGTCACACTGTGTGAGACTAATAAGGACAGAGCTGCATCCCCCTCTACCACTCCTTGGAGACTCACTCCAGCAACTCCTCGGCACTACGGCAGCTCTGTACAGGCATTTCCAGTGCTTCTAGGGGACACACTGACATAGAAATTAAAGGTAAGCAGCTCATTATTTGTAGTTAATTGTCTAAAGATCTCACATGCACACACACACTAAACTATTCCTAGTTTGTTTTGTGGTGGTCTGATTCAGGGCTTTTATGTTTGTGGTTTTTTGTTTTTCAAAATTGCCATTTAAGTTTAGCACCAATTTTGCCAGTCGGTGTCCTATATAAACATAACGTATACAGTAAGCTTTTAATGTACCATAATCAATATATACTACAGGATTCTGCTCGTGATTGTGTTTTAGGGCAAATGCATTGTATATGTTTGGATAGGTATAGGTATGTGCTAAAATATGCTAATAAAAACATAAAACTAAATTATCAGTAATTTACAAACCCGATTAAACTGTTGAAAATCTCCATAGTGCCGAGCATGCTCGTTAATTGTATGCATATATTTAAATTTAAAAAATCTACCTATTGGCGTATATCATTAAAATTAGCACGCATATCGAGTGGCCTACATCCAGCGAGTGGAAGCATGCTCGCGCGCAGCGGCGCGGCAGGGAAGCACCGTCCATGCCCTCCAGGGCGGGGAGCCCGCCCGGTGCGGCAGCTCTGGGGCAGCGCGCGAGGCCGCAGTGCCGGAGGCGGCGGCTGCCGCCGCCACCAGCCCCGCGCCTCTCCTGCTGCTCACCCGGCCACGGCGCCGCCGCGTCTCTGCCTGCGCCCTTCACCTGGCCGCCGCGCAGGTGGCGGCGCGGCCGGGCGGCAGGGGGCTCCCTTGCCCGTGCCCCTTCCAGCCCCGCTCCGACCCGGGCGGCGGAGGAAGCGCCGGAGGGTGCCTGAGCCTCTCTCGGCTCGTCGGGGCGGCCGAGTCCGACGCTCAGGCAGGCTCCGGACAGGCGGGGCTGGCGAGCACGGAGCGAGGGGCGGTGGGTTAGAAGACGCCCGGGAGTGGGGACTCGGGAGGGCGGGCTGTGGGAGCCGCCCGGGCCGGCGCCTCTCTGCTCCCCGCCTAGCCCCGCCCGCCTGCCAGGCTGCTCACCCGCCTGGTGTTCTAAACCCTCCCGTTAGCAAACCCAACTCAGTCCAAGATCAGTTAGAGTGCCGGTGCTGCCGTGTTACGGACGGAGCTACAGACGGCTCCGGTCGCTCACCCCCCGCAGGCTGCGGTGCTCCGGTTGTGGGAGGGAGCAGAGCCTCCTGGAGCGGCGGTGGGAGAGGAGCCCAGCCTGGAGGTGGGGTGGCAGCGAGGGGGTGGTGGTACTAGTGAGCTAGCGGGCAAGAGCCCTTCAGAAAATGAGACCTCTGGAGTAGCAGCTCTAGTGAGTCACTAGTGCCTGCTTGTAAAGCAGGTGCAGGAAATTAAATGATAATGTTACTTGAATGTGCATTCACTTCGCTGCTGTTGGGGAGGCTGGAAAAGTTAATGATGATGTAGTTATCAGTGTAAGTGACTGACAGTAAAACTCTGATGCTGAATAAGGTGCGTTGTGAAAATAATTATAAAAATCGTATTCAGCTATGTGATTTGGTTTTCTTTCAGAAAATATTATTAGGAAAGTACTTTTTGTTTACTGTGTTTCATTAAATTCACATCTATCTGTACATTGCAGCCAGCTTAAAAAACAATCTGATAACTGCATTTAGAGGGCAAAGATATGTTGTTGAAACCAAGACTGTATTTTGTGAGATTTAAATGAAGCTCAGCGCAGGCTGTTCTACGCACATGCATATTTTGCCAAGGTAGAGAAATAGCATTATCTTGATTTCTTTTGTCCTTGTTTGGTTTGAAGACTGCTTCAGCAGTCACTGGCACTGTTGTGACGCCAAACAGTTTACCTAATGTATTCAAAATTGAAAACCTGTGAGAAAAGTAAAAGAAAACTAGTTATTACTAATGAAACAAAAATTTAGTGCCCTTATAACTAATGTCTTTGAGATGATATTTCTAAGGTATTACTTCTGAGTTTAGTGAAGAGATAAAGGAGTTTATTTGTCATTTGTTTCTGAATTTACATAAATTGGGAGGTTTTTGATTTTGGGGTTTTAGGGTTTTTTTTTTTTTGGTAGCTCCTTACAACAGATAATTCAAACACTGTGTGTATGATTAGCAGCTTCTTCTTTACAGCTCAGAAATTCTTGTTTGTAGTTTTCTGATGGGGTGAGGGAAAAAGAGATGGTTCTGAATATTCTTATTTTCTGTTTCAGATTTGTTGCTGATTGTTCACATGTGTCCAGGGGGAAATGAAGTACATTGGATCCTGCATAGTTTGGCTTTGTATGGCAGTCTTCCTCTTCCTTCCTGTTTCTACTTCTGTGGCTGTCAGTGACCACACAGGTACTTCCATTTTTCTTGCCCATCACAGACCTAAGGCTTAAATCTCAGTACTGAACAAATATAACAAATAATGGCAGTACATGGAAAATAAACAGTATGAGCAGATAATGTTAGTACAAGACTTGTTTTAATCTCTCTTTTAAAAAAGTGTAAGTTTGAAGCAGTTCCAAAGCAGTCTTTCTGTTTCCTGTGCTTGGAAGTTTCAGGTTTGGAAGCAGTTGTAGTTCCTTGGAGTTTCATTTTGTATTTTTTCAACTTGCTATACAAAACAAGATTCTAAATCAGAGCTTGTAAAATTTTTGTGAACAAAATCATGCGGCTCTGTTAGAGCAGGTCAGTGTACACTCTGACCTAAACAACTAAATGCTTATGTTAACCTCATCTAAATTTAACCATATGTTTCACAGATGTAGTAAGACAAACTCTTGTGCCTAAGAAAGGGGAAAGGAATATAGTGCTATTGTTTAACTTAAAAGCTGTTACCCATCTTCAAATTTTTCATACTTCTCTGTTTTCTTTCTGTCCACATGTTATCTAGTTTTCACACTTAAACTCTACATTGACTCTCCAGAGGACGGTAAAGTCTGTCTTAAAGGCATGTCACCTGTGTAAGAGGAGTAAGGAATTGTCAGTTTTCTGTAGTTGCTCAGCCTCAGAAAGTATCCATGTACTTCAGCTTTGTAGAATTTTCCTACAATTATTAGCAAGGAGAACATGCTTGTTGCTATTTATTTTTAGTAATGCTGTTTTTCCAGAGGCGTGGTGAAGGATAATAGAAGCTATACATACACAACAACTTTGTATCTTTGTAACAAATTTGAAACTTGGGTCCAAGAAATTTAAAAAGTTAATAACTAGGGTAATAATCCTTTTACTACTCCTGGAAACAATAAATAGTAATATTTAATAAGCTAAAATGTGTGGGCTCTAAGGCAAAAATAATGTGCTGTGAGAAGACTTTTTTACCTTGCATTTTTAGGGCAGGAGGGCTAAGTGCTGTACCGATGAATTATTCTTAACTGTGTGCAATCATTCTCTTCAGCTGTCTGAAAATAGTGCAAGAGGTTGTCTTCTGTGTCATTGCTGGCTGGTGGTTTGTAGAAGGGGAGTTTTGAAAGTGCTGAAAGGGTGCGAGTGCTGAAGGTTCCCTAGTACTATAAATGAATAAATGGAAACTTGAAACATTTTTGAAATAAAATGCCAGGAAGCATTGTCTTTTTTTTTTTTTTTTTACTTTTTTTTTTTTCTTAATGAAAAGCTGTCTAAGTGAAAGGTGGACCTGTCACAGGAGATTTGACAGCTCCACTGAACTGCTAAGAAATGAGGTATCTGAACTGTGCATTACGTTCTGTTAGCAGTTTGTGGCTAGGCAGCCACAAGTGGGGAAGTTGCAGTTTTCCTTAATCTGATTGCCACAGATGGATCAAATATGGGTCAAATTGAACTGCTGGGCAGAAGAGGAGAGACTGAACCTCTCCTGAGTATAACTGATGGTATGCAGTTGAGAGAGGCTTCTGTAGTTAGAGGTGATATAAGCCGATGGTGAGAAGCAGCAAGGAGATAGCTGCCAGTTTGAGCAGCTCTGCTGACAGCAGAGGATAGGCTCAGTGATGCCTTAAACTGACAACAGGAAAGAGACTCTTCTAAAGGCTGAAGGGATGGTTACTGTCAGAATTAAAAATATGAGTTACAGACCAGAAAACAAGAGCTGACAAAGAATGGACCCTGCAATGGTGCAGCAGTACAGCTGTGTCTGCAATCTTCTGTTAATCTGCGCCGTTCAGCTGAACAGAGTACTCTCTGTTGCAGAGGTGTCTCATCCTAGTTTGATAATTTGTATGCAGATTATGCAGATGGATCTGTTAAAAACTGGAAATAATGTGCTCACTTTGAGAAGACAGGTATATCTAATAAGGTGGTTTGGGTTTTTTTAGTTCTTTCTTTCATTAACTGGCTCTGTCTTGAGCTTCCGTTCTCTCCCATGTATCAGTTCCCCAGTTCTGTTTGGATCAGCATCTATCCTGCAGAATCTGCATAGCCAATCCTTTTGGTTTTCTTCTTTCAACAGCATATGTTAGCATTTGTTTTTCCAGCAAAGCCCATTCAGATCAGATCTTGGATTATTGCACTTACATCCTGAAATTTCTCACCTGATCTACTGAAGTCTAAATGAATGGCCTTCAAATGCAGCGAAAAGTGTAAAGTTAATTTAAAGGGGGATAACGGGGAGAAGTGTTTTAGGTGAAGGAAACCTCTTAGGCAAGAGAAAGGATTGATTTATATGCATATGTAGGTGAGAACTTTCTGAGCTGGCATTCTGAATATACTTTGGGACTTACTCATTGGGTCAGTATTGTAATAAATAAATACCAGTACTGGAAACCAAAAAGAACAGAGAGTGACTGAGTATGCTGGATCTTCTCTGAGTGGTCTTCCTTAGGCTTTAAATGTGTGTCAGTGACCATTAGATTCACATCAAGGATTTCTTTCAGTTCTCACCTGCCCAGAAATTTTGATACGCCAATTGTTCACTTGCTTTGAAGCACTTGATTCTAATGACACAATATAGCAAATCTGAGGGATAGGGTTCAGGAGTTCTCCACAATTGTGGTTTTTGATTTGACTTCAAGAATATTTTCTTCATTACGTCAACTTACATCTTTTAATTTTTGGGAACGTTTGGATTTGGAGTGTGGATATGACCTCTTTCTTTAGTGACACATGAAGTTCTAATTTGATCATTCCTGAATGTTTAATATTCAGAATATTAATACTTTGTCTCGCTCCCAGATCATTGCTGATTTTTCAGCTTTGTTTTACAGTTACTGTTTTTCAAAATCACTTGCTAACCCATGAAAAATGTAGCATAAACAAAGTCCTGGGACTGACAGGCATAGTGAATTTCCATTGCCTTTTGACATGGAATGTGTTGTGAAAAGTATTGGCTCTAGATCATAATTTAGATAGGCACTTTAACCCAAATACAGTGAGTTGTTTCAAGTATGCAGATAAGTTCAGCTTTTTGGTTTTCATGTTTTGGTGTGGCTAGATACTTCTCAAAATTCAGTTAATGGCTCTACAGTAACTCTCATATACAATTTAGTTGTATTGTTAATCTGAATTTTTAAGGTTGGATCCACAAAATATTGCTAGCATTGGAGTAGTTAAGTGACCCTGCCTCCCTGGAATTCCTTGTAGTTAAATGATAAATCCTTTGTGGCAGTGAATAAGGATCTTTAGGTATTTATAAGAATGTGGATCATGAAAGCCTGCATGCTGAGGAAAGCCACATCAGCTAGTGACTAAGTAGCATGGAAGTGTTCCCCTTTGTGGCCTGGGGTCTTTCTCAGCTACACACATCCTCCCAGTTTGAAGCCTGTAAACCAGATCGGCCTGTTTTTTTTCATGGAAAGGCAGAGAAAGAACTGCACATCAGTACAGTTATACATGATATTACATCAGTAATATCACTTACAGCCATGATATTCACCCATGATATAATGGAATAGTTTGGGTTGGAAGGGACCTCCAAAGATAATCTAGTCCAACCCCACTGCAATAAGTAGGGACATCTTCCACTGGATCAGGTTGCTCAAAGCCTTGTCTAACCTGACCTCGATTGTTTTCAGGGATAGGGCATCTACCTGTTCCAGTGTCTCACTACCCTCATGGTAAAATATCCTTATATCCAGCCTAAATCTGCCCTCTTTTATTTTAAAACCATTACCCCTTGTCCTGTGCAGGCCCTGCCAAAAAGTTTTTCCGCATCTTTCTTATAAGCCCCGTTTTAAGTATTGAAAAGCTGCAATAAGGTTTTCCTGGAGCCTTTTCTTTTCCAGATAACACTCACTAACCTTTCCTCATAGGACAGGTGCTCCATCCCTTTGATCATTTTTGTGGCCCTCCTCTGGACCTGCTCCAACAGGTCCGTGTCTTTCTTGTGCTGAGGTTCCAGGCTCACAAGAGCACAGTAGAGGGGCAGCATCACCTCCCTCAAGCTACTGTCCACACTTCTTTTGATGCAGCCCAGCACAGAAAGCTCAGAGGCTTTCTAGTCTGTGAGAGCACATTGCAGGGTCATATTCAGTTTTTCATCCACTAGTACGTCCAAGCCCTCAGCAGGGTTGCTCTCAATCCCTTCAATCCCCAGTCTGTATTGATACTGGGGGTTGCCCTGTTCCAGATGCAGCACCTTGCACTTGGCCTTGTTGAATCTTATGAGGTTCACATAGGCCCACTTCTTGAGCTTCGTCCAGGTGCATCTGCATGACGTACTGTCCCTCAGGCACGCCAGCCACACCACACAGCTTGGTGTTGTCTGCAATCTTGCTGGGGAGTGCACTTGAGCTCATTGCCTTTGTCACTGATGAAGATGTTAAACAGTATTATTCCCAGTGCAGACCCCTAAGGAGTGCCACTCATCACTGCCCTCCATCTGGACATTTCAGCTGTTGACTACTACCCTCTGGATGTGACCATCCAAACAATTCCTCATCCACCAAACAGTCCATCCATCAAACCTGTATCTCTCCAAGTTAGAGAGAAAGATGTTGTAAGAGCTGTGTCAAAGGCCTTACAGAAGACCAGATAGATGACATCTGTAGCTCTTCCCTTTTACATTGATGTAGTTACTCCATCATAGAAACCCACTAGGTTAGTCAGGCAAGACTGGCCCTTGGTGAAGCTGTGCTGGCTGTCTTGAGTAACATGAAGTCCTTTTTTTAACTACCTGTTCTTCGTCATATGAGAATCCAGTTCTCCAGGGTTTAGCGTGAGCATCCTAGTATCTCAACTCTATTGGTGTGGATTTCTTAATCCTGCCTGCCAAAGCTGTTATGTTATTTGCATAACCATCTAAATAATCAGAAGGCTTGGAGCTGACTTCTTTCTTATAGCAACAAAGTTGTAGATTCAGTCTCCTTCATTCCCCTTCCCACTCTTGTCTAGTTAACATGTATATTGTAATGTAATATGATGTAGCTTATGGAGTAAAAAAAGGAAAACAAAAAAATCACATCTTATTTTCTGGTACCTCTATACATGAGGTTACAGGCATGTATAAGATCTGAATTCTTGACCTTATTTGTAAGCAGGCCAGCTGGGTTTGCTTAGCTATCCTTGAGGTGGACTCTTTGGATGTTGTTGCTGACACTTGCAGATATGTCACACACTCTGAAGTGATTCCTTATGTGTATATATTTAGGAAGCCTGATCCTAAAGAGTGTGAGACAAATCGTAGCTAATATGGATTTCTGCCTGAAGCATGAGTCTGACATATAATGTGGGCATATGTTAAGCAGGGCTTTGTTGTTTGGCCAGTCATGCTTACTGATGGAAACTTTGGTAACTTTGCAATGTGCATGTCAGTAGTGTTAGATAGCAGCTGGAAATTTCACCTGAACATAAAGTTTAATTATAAAGTAGCAGATAGGTAGTTGTAAAGTGAATCTATTGATTACAGGTTATACTCTGGAGAAGCCAAGAGTGCCTATTGGAAGCTACAGTTCTCAGTCAGGAAGTGCAGACAAGAGATGTCTGTAAGAGTGAGACCGAAGCATGCCCAAGAGGCTCCTCTGTCCTCATTTGCACGGGAAGGAAAACTGAGCATGGGGCGTAGATAGAAGCTGCAGCATGCTCCAGCCGGTGCCCTGATTACTGCAGGAATTGAGAACATGCCATTGCATGTTGCAGCAGAATCATCTACATGCAATGCCTTTATTTTTTTTCCTTAATGCTATTAGAAAGCAACAGCAAAAAAATTACTAGCATCTTATTGGAGAGGCAGATCATCAGTGGTCTGTGACATCTCCTTGATCTGCATGAGTACATGTTTTTCAAAATTTTTAGGTTGATTTCGTAATAGTAAGCTCCTATGTAGAGCTCATTGATTTCTAAAAGCTGAGGTCTGTAGTTTTGTCCTATGGCTAAGTGATCTCATTAATTTATAGGTACTTTAACCTGAGCTTTGACATCACCATTTTAACATGAATTGTTGACTTCAGTTCGCACAGAACCAGTTTTATCACATGCAGAGCAAGATAGTCTCAAGCATAATCTTGTTCTTTTCACTGCGTCATTAGTTTTACAGTGTATATTCTAACAGAGCAGATAGGTGAATGGTTTCTTTGCCAGGATTAGTGGTAAGGGTTTGTCTTTGTTCTTTTTCTTCCTGAAAGTCTTCATGTAGATCTTCTAATTCAGCTACGCACAGGATGAATGGGTAAACTGTTTTGTCTCAGGCCAAAGAAAATTTAAACATCTGCCAGCAGTACTAAAAATCTTGGAAGAGGCTAGCTTATTTTGTACAAACTGTAACTGTAGAAAGAATTTTCATCAGTCTACAGTAATGAAAGTTGTCAGTCTTGGTATGGAGAAGTTTTGGGTTTAATATTTTAGTTTTGATTTAGCTCTCTGGTAAAAATAATAACACTGGTCTAAAAGAGTGATTCAGCAGCAGCATGAGATAGAAGAAGTTTAATAGTAACCCCTTCAGTTCTTCTGGGGATATGGAATACAACCAAATAAGTAACACTTAAATATCCTATGCTGTGACTGTTAGACCACTGATAAAAATAGGTCCACAGTCCAGTCTGTGGCATGTGTGGAATAATTGCTATCGTCTGGATAACACAGAAATTGAGGCTTGAGTCTTTATTTGGACTTGGAAGAAAAAGTGTGTGGGGGGAATAAGTTAAAACTCCCCATTATTTTCCCATCAGCTCTCATGCAAGACAATGTTGAAAAAAAACCCATGCAGTTGCGTCCCAGGTTCTCTATAGCTTACTACAGCAGTTCAGGGTAAATTCAGTAATAAGTATTATCTGTCTGCTTTTGCTGTAAGTAGTGTAAATTAATTTAACCTAAAAAGGAATCAGCCCCATCATCTTATATATATTTAAAAAAAAACCTTGGTTAGAAAACACTTAAATTTAAGAAAAGCTTTTGTCAGTGTATGTGTGACATGCTATTGTGGCTTTCAGCCATAACATATTTCCTTTACAAGAATATATTTCTTATAGGTATACATGTGTAAATCTTCTATAATTGCATTGTTTTGGGGTGGCTACAGATGAAAGTCTGTATAAGTGATGAAGACTAAGGTTTGTAGATTAAAGGGTATCTGAGGTGAGCTTCTTTCTGCTCCATATACGCACAGTGTATATGTGCGTATATCAAACGGTGTATTGAAATTGCCATGGTAGTATGTAATTCCAGCGAATGCCTTTCACACTACATAAAACTCCCCGCAAACCAAGAATGATGAAAGATTTCATTTCAGTTTCAGAGATTTCAACAAGAATATTCTTTATGGTTCTGCATCTTTTCTGCTGAAGGGGAATTTACAGAGTTATTAATGCATGTTTCATCTCATTTGTCATAAAACTATGTAAATGCACATATATACAGACATTTATTTGTGCATAAATGAAGGAAGGAATACATTTTCTTAGAGCCTTAGAAATAAATTATGAGTGATGTTACTTGTAAGTGTAGATCACAATTTAGATGTAAAGGACATAGAACTTGATGAATCTTATGAAAAAATGCCTTTAACCTGGTCTGTCCTTTAAACAATTGACATACCTCTCATTAACCATATTGTCAGGAAGTATCTTTGAATTAAATGATTTAGTATCACTTTTACTGGTTGTTTCCAATTATCCATTTTTAATCCAGATCAGGTACACGAACACATTTAATAGAACTTAAAACTTTTGAGGGATAATATGCTTTCTACATTGCTACAGAACAAATGACAAATTTCACATGCTTTAAGATTACAAATACAGCTATTTTGAATGCCACCCTTCAGTCTGAATGCTCCTTGGAAATCTTTAGATATAGGTGATTTCCAGGTTAGTGGTAGGGCATTCCTCCTTTTATTTTTAAGTGAACTGACACTTCAGAAAGTCTCCCCCACCCCTCCCCACCCCATTCAGCATCTTCAGCTATACCTTGGCTATCTTTTTAGTTGCATCAGCTCAATATGGAACTCTGTGCTTGATAAGTGCATGGGTCAAATCCTGCTTGTCACCTTTGATATTTTTATTAGAGTTTAGCAGGGCTATTTGCAAAGTTTGTTTAACAAAGAGCCCCATTTCTGACCCATGCACAAAAGTCACATTTCTTTGCACTTGCTTCTTAAAAGTATCTATTCCTCTGTGTGCATAGAAATAAGAGAAGAAACGACTTTATGCAAGTAAGATATTTAATATTAATAATGCAGTGTTTAATCTAAGTGTTCAATTAGATTTAACCTTAGAATTTGCCATGTTCCACATCCTAGAACATGCTGGTTGTTTATCTAAATACAGACTTAATCCCCCCAAAAGCTGCTTAATTGTAAGCCATTACAATAAAAAAACTATTGCTTAAATTGTTTATTATAATTATATTCTTTTTAATCCACATTTTGGAATTCTTTTTCACTGAAGTAACAATAGATTATTGTCATGGTAATCAAGTGTTTATGCTTTATTGCTTCCTGTTCCTTAGTAAGGGAAAAAGGTTTTCTAAGAATGTAGCCAGAAATAAAAACTAAAACAAAACACAACAGCAACAACAACCAAACAAAACCGCTAAACCCCTTAGGACAGAGGTTATTGCTTTATAGAGTATTGTACATGGAGAGAGGCTGGTAAGAATTTAGTGGTTTTCTTCTGGTTATATTGTTCCTGTGAGCTTTAATCGCAAACAGCTGAATTAAAGCATGATAAAATTTGATCTGCTTATATTATTAGAAGTGTAGTATGCAGTCTGAAATATCATTTCTCTTATTTAGATTTTGTAATTTGTTTATTGCTGGCTAGCATATTGTAAAGAAAGAAAATGAACAAAAATATTCTTGTTGGTATTACTGTCACTGTCGTGGCAGTTTGTTCTGATTTTTTTTGTTTGAAAGAAATGTATAAAATATGCTAAACTGTATTCTCTTGAAGGTGCTACATGTCCTTTACTGAAAACTGTTGTCCATCATCTCAAACAAATCAACAGAGGCAGTCTTGGTGTTTCAGGTAACTGACTGTACTCATATCAGTATCTAAATTAATTTTATATTAGTGGATGTAATCATAGTTTGACTGAAGCTGGCTTTAAAACTGAAAGGACCGTATGGAATGCCACCTCCATGCTCCAAAAGCTGTTGTTTTTAGGAAAGGGGTTAAAATCAGAGCATGGTGTTCTTACAAAGTATTGGTTCAAGTTCTTCAGCTGTACTCACTTCCGTTGTTTTTATCAAATGTCCTTTGTTCTTATCAGTTCAGACAATAGAAGGAAATAAAGAATGCATTTCTCAGGTTGCAAAGTCATCTAGTGAGAGAATTTTGTACTGATAGTTTCTGTGTCGATAAAATGAATATTGGAAATTTCTCTGACTTAAAAGTACTGGTTTTCAAAATAGTGTGTCAGTCCGTGTTTTGGAAATTTAGCAAGCATGCTAAAAGTCAGTGTTTACGTTGTTTTTTAAAATTCTGTTAAACTAAAGCATTGTGTCATATTTCACAGGGTTTGATCTGGCAGAAAGCTTTTCTTTGAGGCAAACGTCTTGTGGAGGTGAAAAAAACTGTTTTAAACTGGGAAGCGCGCCTCTCATCAGAGACACAAAGTAAGTAGATATAGTTTCACCTGAAGTCTTTAAAAGGCAGAGCTCAGACCAAATGCTGTTAGTGCATTGAAACAGTGGGCAGTGTATCCAGAGGATACCACAGAAGAACAAATACGTCTGGTTTTAGGCATTTTTATCTGTAACAGGTTTTTTGGGAAGTATTTTGGTGGAGGTGTGGTTTTTTTTCTTCTGGAATCTGGAAATATCTAGGTAGAAAGTAAATTGTGAATATAACTTTCTCAAATTTTGATTCTGATACTGAAAAATCTGCTGTTTATAAATAAATATTAATGAAACAAAGGAAACAACTTTCATGGTATGACAAGATGTATTATACTAATCTTCCCACAGTGGAATTGGTTGTCCTCTCTCTGATTAGTGTTGACACGATTAAAAAGAGAGGGAAAATCAACATTACCTTAAACACTATAATTTAATGTTTTGGGGTTTGATTGTTGGGTTTTGTTTTTTTGTTTTGTTTTTTTTCAATGGAATTGGCATCTTGTCTTTGAGCTGTAATAGAATGGTAGGTGCTCAGTGTAAAGGTGAAACTACACAGCATCCTACTCTGACACAGGGTGGGATGAAAGGCAGAAACTGCATAAAAAATCTAAAGGATGGTGAAAGAGAGAAAGGCACAATGAAATTGGATGGATTTAAGTTTGCATGGGGGCAAGGAAATTCCAAGAAGCAGTTAGGAATGTAGTTTCAAGTTCCCAGTGCTCAGTGGAGACAGAGGATCATCTCAGACCTTCTTGGTTCAGATGTGCTCTGAGTCATGGGACTGTGGTTTCTGTACAGCATGTTCCTGTGATGACGAGGAAGCAACTGTATTGGGTGTTCTCTGTTGCAAGAGATCTGGCTCTAGCTTCCCTAGGGAAAAATACACCTGGACCTCAGACTTCCCCTTTGTTTGGATCCTGGACAGGGAAAAGAGGGGCAGTGGATAACTTGAGGCCAGGGGAGAGGGAGAAGACGAATTGGAGGCACCCAGACAGAAGGCAATGTGATCTTTAGGAGAAAAAAATTCTGAAAAAAAATAGAGCCTAAATATTTGAGATTGCTGGATAGTTTCTAAGTTCTTCTGAGGTTATTAGATAATGTAAATCTTTATGCTTGTCTAATCCTGCAAGGTTAAAAAAATACTGACTGTCTTTTTTTAAATACCTTGGACGTTATCTGTTGAAGGAAAAATGACTAAATAAAATTGCTTGACACAGAGAGTGCTCTATTTTTATTAGGGCCTTCCTAGTATTATAAGGATTCTCTTTGGAAAAGGAACAGGTAAAATTAAGTACCACTTATACATATTGTCACTAAAAATATTTTGAAAGTTTGTCAGTAAGAAAACTTTTCTGTTAAATCTATTATTAATTTTTCAGATTTTTATAGTTGGGGTTTTGGTTTTTTTCAGTGGATGGGAATTTGAGGGAAACATGAGACTAGAAGAGTAGAAAATCAGGGCAATAACAAAAAATGTGGGGCAACTTTTTTAGGAATAAAAGCTACGTAGTTCTTTGTGTGCAGTGTAAGCTGAGTTTATTCTGAAAGTGGCAAAAATGGAGTGTGAGTAGCTAGAAATCACAAAAGGGTGAATGATTTAGAATTCATGTTGTTTTCAGGGAAAATTCATCATTCAAAAAGATTGATTTCTAAAAATTCATGTTTTTTGGAAGGGTTCTGACAGGTGACATTGAGGTTGAAAATGTAAAGCTTTTTTTCCTATCTTTTATTAGTAGGTCTGAATACTACTGTCTGTAGTTTATTTTATTCTTATAAGAACAATTTATTAAAGGAGGCAGTGAAAGTGGGGAATATGCATCATGGCTGCTAGTGGCTTAGCAAAGCCTTATGTCCTAGTGGTTGCAAGGAAAACACTTGAGAAAGACGCAATGCTTTTAACTTTCTTCATGAAGTGAGAGAGAAATCTAACTTTTTTTTCTATGTTTTATCTGTTCAGCTTTTTGGAGTGAGGATGACTGTTAGAGACAAAAGTGGTCAGTTGTTTTTTTGGTTTTTTTTTTTTTTTTCATTTTCAGTGTAAACTGGGCAAGGGATAAGGAATTTCAGTAAAGGATAAACCTGGAGGGCAAGTTGTTTGGCTTTAACGGTCTCCTGCTTCTCATGTTCCTCTCCCACCCTGTTGTTTTCATCTGTGTATCCTCAGTAAAGAAAAACTGAAGATAAATCTTTCCAGTTTCCCCTAAAAATGTGCATATCTAATGGATGAAAACTTTAGTTGGATGAAGTGAGATAGTTATTAATAAAATGCATAACAGTACTAATGTATGAATATAGTTGGGCTGAAAATTAATACCGTTACTGATGCTAAGGTATAAAATAAGCTTTTCAGTCAGCTTGCTGTGGAAATAAATGGTACCTCTTACATGTATCTTTCTGAACAAAAAAGGGTTACAAGTATTTTCAATAGCCTTCAAGCATTGAAGAATTTCCATTAAATCCTAGTTCTTCATGGCAATAGTTTTGCTCATGCTTTTTTAATCTTTCTTCACAGAGAAATGCATGTCATGATTAAGAATAGAATTTACTTTTTTTTTATTTTGTATCCAATATGTTGAATATATTGAGCTTTCTGTTGTTGAGATAACGCTTCAGACAAGATTTTTAAAAATTACTTAATTCAAGAATTTTTCTGAACTGAGTTGGTTTTTAAACATAAGTGCAGAGAGCAGTCAGGAGCATAAAGTTAGGTTTAGACATGGTAGGGTTACAGTGAAGGATACTCAGGAACTCTGATATCTGTCTTCATAACCTTATAATTTACTTCATCTTAGTTATCCATGTACAATGTCTTGTAACTTACTATTTTATTTAAATTTTCTTCTCTTATGTCAGACTGTGTGGTTCCAGATCCCCATGTTGTTAAATGCTCGGAGGATTTTAGGAGCAGTCTGCCTCAGAAAATATTTTAGCAGACGTGGCGTGCAGTAAGCAGCAGAACAGTGTTTGTTATCCATCCTGCAGGAAACTGAGAGTATCTGATTAAGCTGACTAGCAAGTATCAAGTAACTTAGCACATCTCCTCTTGCATTTCATTCATTCAGTTGTAGTGTGGGTAATAGAGAGCTATGCTGTGCCATTTTTCTTGTGTGATGCCATTTTGTTTTTTTTTCAATGGACCTGGAATAGTGTTGCACCTATTTATATGTTATAAATAATTTATAATGCAATGTCAGCTTGGGAAATTTGTTATGTCTATATTGGATTTTGGTTTGTCTTTATCTCTTTTTGTGAAGGAATTCCATAAGTATTTTGTCTTGTGATAGGAGATGAATAGCTTTTCTTATGCTCCATGTAAATGACTATTAAATATTTAGTTCTAATAATATTTTTCAGGATTTTCTAATTTTTCTAAAAATTAGAAAATTTCTAAAAATTTTCTATTTTTTCAGGAAGAGAGAGTGATTTTTAAATTAAAATAATGTTACTTACTGCAGTTATTACATGGGTATTAATAGAAGTTATTCCTGAGTAAAGTGGTGTAACAGTCTTTGAATCCTAAAGAAATCTACGGTAAAATACTGTTATGCAGACAATCTAATTATGTAGTCATAATAATAGTAATTGTATAATGTTTTAATTTTATTTCAATAAAAACATTCTGGAGTCATATTTTGTTCTCTAGAGTTTAACACATACAGCCTATGCAGTATGCTCCATTTTGGCACAGAGCTTGCTGAAAAAAGCAGCACAGGGCTCAGTGCTGATAGCAACTCCTTTACATCTGCCAGCAGTATTCAGTACCCTGGACATGAAGCCTTCTAAGCTAATGTTTGTTTTTTAGTTACGTTAAAGTAAATAGCACTATGATGAAATAATTTCAGTCTTTCTCTAAAGACGCATCAGATGTCAGTTGTTCCTCATTCTCTCTTTTCTGGGTTGCTGGTGGGCCACTTTTTTTTTCCTTCTCTGAAAGTGTCAATAAAGGAGATAGTAAGTTGATTTCAGCTGAGTTTCAGAATGTTTTTTAAATGGGTATTTATGATTAGCAAATCTTGATGGCACAGTCGTGGCTTTCTTATTTTGTAGTCTGTTTGGCTTGACAACCCATATTAATTTACTGTGGAGATTATTGTAGCTGTCTGTTAAATGATCTCATAGTTGGGATTACTCCCACAACATTTTTTTAGGAATTCTTCCCCTTTTGGTGTAAGATACTGCAAAAGAGCTTCGATTTTGACTGTATTTGGACTACTGAGCTCCATCAGCCATGTTGTCACCCTCTGGTGCCAGAAGAGCTGTGGATGTGGCTTGGACCATATTTCAGAGAAATTGTTTCACCTCCTTGTGATGTCTAGTTACTGGATGGAGAAATCCTATTCCCACTTCTGTCAGTACATTGCAGGCTGGAAGATTCTTTCTGCTAAGAACAGAAATTGATGGTGAAAGAATATTCATGTGGGGTTTACTGTTTGCTTTTAATACTAATCTTTTTAATCACAAAAAGTGCTTAGGGAATTGCATTTCCTAAAGCACAGTTGGCATCAAGTGTTTCTGTGCTAACCGTTAGAGCCCTTTTCATAGTTATCACATTGCTTCCAACAGTACTTACCTGTGGTAGGCTTTGCAGCCATTTACTTTCCTCTGGTTGGTCTGTGGTTGTATCTTGCATATGACTTCAGCTGTCAGTGAATGTCCACATGGGCATGGGTTTTGATTATTTTTGCACATGGCATGCGTTTTGGGCAGCAGACTCGGGTTCACTGTCTTCTTGAAAAATATTAGATAGATATGAAAGATATATATATGTTAAGAAGTAACATACCTATTTCTTAAATACAGTATAGAATGGATAGATGTGAAAATACCCGTTTCCAAAAGATTTAATCAGAAACTTTTAAAGCACCTTCTGAAAATGGCAATGAGGTGGCACCCCTGTCCAGAGGCAGTAGTTAGTTACCCTAACTAGGTTTTATCTGTGCTTACACAAAGTCCTGCTAGTCTTTAGTCTATTAAAATATTAGATCATTATGTAAGAA